TATACTGTTATATATACTATATATACTGTCATTATATATACTGTTATATATACTGTTATATATACTGTTATATATACATAATCAATATGATCAATAAAGATACAGTGTATTCTGATTGAAAGATGGCGTCTGGACTCCTGGAGCCTCCTGAAGGAGGAGAACAGCTCTGTGTGTTCCTGCTGAGAGACGAAGAGGAGGAGGAGGAGGAGAGGATGAGAAGGGAGGTGGGCTGTCAGTGGGAGAGTCCAGAGGAGGAGAGGAAGGAGGTGGGCTGCCAGAGTGACTCAGCAGAGAGGAGGGACGCTGCCGTTCAGGTGGACCTGCTGACTCAGCAGCTGAGCTGGAGACACACAGGTGAGACAGACAGACAGGAAGTGTGGAGGACAGACAGCCAACAGTAACAATATTAATAAAAACAACATATTGATTATTGTTTATTGATGTTTGTAAAGTTTATCATCAATGCCTCTCTCTTTTATTTGTATTGATAATATTCTCCCAATCAATCTGAGCAATAACAAGCTCACTAATATTAGGATTATGACATTAATACAGTGTTCCATATCAGTGCCTCTCTAATATCTCTACTAATAATTGTATTGATTGATCTCCTGATCAATAAAGAGCTCATTACGATATGAACCTTTGTCCTCCGTCTGCAGGCTCGTCTGCGATGCTGCTGCAGTGTTTTGCTGTTAGACCTGATGGACCAGGCGGTGGCGCTCTACTGCAGCACTGCACCACCAACCGCACCAGAACCAGAACCATCAAACCCGCCATCAGACATTCCCCCAAACCCACCCAGTCCAGGTCCAGGTCCAAGAGGAGACCGCCTCCTCCGAGCTCAAACACCACCAGGCGAAATCCAACTCAACGTCGCCACCGCCGTGCGTTGCCTGTCTCCGACCTCCAACAGGAGGAGGAGGAGGAAGAGGAGGAGGAGGAGGAGGTGGTGGAGGAGGACACAGGTGATCCCACCTGGACTCCAGCTGAGGGAAGTGAGTGCGGATGAAAATAAAATTTAATTAATTAATTTAATTTATTGATAGTTTTCATATTTTTTATTTAATGTATTTATAGTTTTTATATTTATTTAATTTATTCATAGTTTTTATATTTATTTCATATATTTATAATTTTTATATTTATTTCGTATATTTAGTTTTTATATTTATTTATATGTATTTATGTCGATTTAATATTAATATATTATTAAATATATTCATAGTTTTTATATTTATTTCATATATGTATAGTTTTTATATTTATTTCATATATTTAGTTTTTATATTTATTTATGTCGATTTAATATTAATATATTTATTAAATATATTCATAGTTTTTATATTTATTTCATATATTTATAGTTTTTATATTTATTTCATGTATTTATAGTTTTTATATTTACTTAATATATTTATAGTTTTTATATTTATTTATATATATTTATGTAGATTAAATATATTTGTATTTATTCAATATATTTATTTTTATTAAATATATTTATAGTTTTTATATTTATTTATGTAGATTTATGTAGATTAAATATATTTATATTTATTCAATATATTTATTTTTATTAAATATATTTATAGTTTTTATATTTATTTATGTAGATTTAATATTAATATATTTATAGTTTTTATTTTTATTAAATATATTTATATTTATTAACTGTAAAGTATAATCTGTTTTCAGCTCTTCACTCTCTGATACCCTCCCGTGTTTCTCCCCCCAGGTGTGGACTCTCACCCGTCTCCTTCGGGTCTGGAGGATGTCCAGCTGGACTTGGAGTCCCAGCATGCACCTCTTTGCGCGGTGAAGCTGGAGCCCGGCAGCACTATGTGTGACGTTTGTGGTAAAGTGATGAAGAACAAGTCGAGTCTGGCGCGACACTCCTTCATCCACACGGGGAAGAAGCCGTTCGCCTGCCACCTGTGCGACCTGCGCTTCAACCGCCGCGACAACCTGCAGCACCACCTGAGCCGGCTGCACCCCAACGGCGTCGCCAAGCTGGAGAAGCAGCGCGAGGTGACGGCGTGGCTGTGCGCCGTCTGCGGTAAAACCTTCAGCTGCAGGTCCCGCCTCAAAACACACGAGGTCATCCACTCGGGGGTGAAACCTCACCGCTGCGACCTCTGCCCCAAATCCTACATGAGGACCAACGACCTCGAGCACCACAAGAAGATCGTCCATGTGGACGGCGCCGCGGAACCTCAGCGCTCCAGCTCGCTGCTCTGCGACCTCTGCGGCAAAGAGTTCAAATGCCGGTCGCAGCTGGCCGTCCACTTCCAGACTCACACGGGAGAGCGCCCGCACCTCTGCGACATCTGTGGCCGCAAGTTCGGCCGTCAGTACCAGCTGAAACGCCACAAGATCCTGGTCCACGCCAACCGAGTGAACGCTGAGGACAGCCTGCCGCCCGACGCTCCGTTTGCCTGCGACGTCTGTGGGAAGCGGCTGAAATCCGAGGCGCTCCTCGCCGCCCACTCCCGCATCCACTCGGGCGACAAACCTCACCGCTGCAGCATTTGTCTGCGCAGCTTCCAGCGCGCCACCTGCCTGAAGCAGCACCACGTACGCGTTCATCTGAAGGTCAGAGTGAACGAGGTGCCGCACGCCATCGGACGCAGGAGGAGCTCGGTGGCGGCGAGGGCGTTCCCGTGCACGATCTGCAGCAAAGTTTTTAAATTCAAGTCCCTGCTGGCAAGCCACACGCTGATCCACAGCGAGCTGCGACCGTACGGCTGCGACTTCTGCAGCCGCAGCTTCAGACGCCTCAGCCACCTCAAGAGACACCGCGAGGTCGTCCACGCCAACAGAGAGCGCCCGCCGCAGAGCTTTGT